CTGAAATTAACTTCTGAAGCCAACTTACAATGACCTTAAGTTCTTAAAATTCTCTCACAAATTCAGGTTTCAAAAGCAGTCTATACATTTAGACATTTGCTGGGCATGACGTTGCATGTCTGTAATACCAGCACTCAGGAGGCTGAGGCAAGAGGACCATCAAGAGTTTAAAAGCCAGCCTGGGGTAGAAGTTCAACTGCCTCAAAATAAAAAGCGGGGTATGGCCGATGTTTATAACAGCAGTTTTTAATAGCCAAATCTTAGAAACAACCCAAATGCCCATCAACTGGTGAATGGATAAAGCTGTGGTTTTTTTACACAATGGAATACTACTCTGCCATAAAGCGTAAGTTTAAAACATTCCTAGGTAAATGGATGCACCTTGAGACCATACTCTTTAAGTGAAATAAATAAGACACATGTAAACACTGCATCGTTTCTCTGGTGTAAGAAACTGAAAGCACAAGTAAGAAGCAAAGTGTCTTATGAGGTATTGTGAAATACAATGTTCAAATGAGGGGAACAAGGCAGGGAACAGGGGGAAAGGCAAGAATTTTTTAGAAGTGACAAAAGGTAAAAATGGAAACAAAGCTTTTACCAATGGGGAAGGAAAAGGAATAGGGAAAAGAATCCTGTTGTATCACGTACAGGTACAAATTCTGTGATGAATGTGATCACTACATGTATCTCAAATGTACTAATAAAATCTGATTAAACAAAAAAGACCAGCCTGAACTGCATTGTGAGACCATCTCAAAAAAAAAAAAAAAGCTAACATTTCTTTGGATACAGCAAATTTTTGATCTAGTATTCCTCTTCATTTTTATGTATAGTGCCTTATTGCTACACAAGAATTTTACCTACAGTTCCCAATCAGATCAATTCCACTTTTGAAGGCAGTTGGAATTATGGACATGAACAGATCAGGAAAATACCTATTGTGTTGGACTTAATTTTGAAGTATTAGGTGCATACATTTTTAACCTACGTGTTTCCTTGGCCAGTGATGGCAAACCCTTTAGTTTTCAATAATGCATGCTGTGTTCACCACCATTGCCATAGGTCTTTTGCCTGCAACACAAACATCCCATGAATAAGCACATCTCGTTTTTAAATAACATCCCCAATATAAGGAAACAAGGGGGCTGAGGACACAGCTCAGTGCATAGCGCCTGCCTGGCAAGTGCAAGATCATGATCCCAGTACCAAAAAAAACATGGGATAGCTGGAGAAATGCTTCATTTTAGGCCCGGGACAAACAGAACCTGAACTTAAAGATGATTTTTCTGGCCATAGCTTTACTCAAAAAAAAGAAGCTGGGGGCTGGGGACGTGGCTCAATAGTATAACTCTTGCCCTGTATGCATGCACAAGGCCCTGGGTTCAATCCCTAGCACCATATACATAAAAAAAACCCAATGATTTTTTTTAAATGATGATGTATCCTGTTATGGTTTGTGTCTGGGTGTCCCCCCAAAGCCTCATGTGGTCATGGGGCAGGCTTTTAGAGTTTGATTATGGGTGTGAAAGCTGCTCCCGCCCTGGGGTGGATAGTTTGCATATGTAAGGGACACAGCAAGAGGCTGCTTGGGGCCATTTCCTGGCTTTTGTGCTTGTTGCTTTGCTGTGTTCTGTGCCAGGAGCTGTAGCCCTCTGCCATGTGCCACTCTGCCTTGTAACCTGCCAAGTATGGACTGAAACCTCCACAAACTGTAAGCAAAATAAACCTTTCCTTCCTTAACTTTGGGCGTCAGGTATTGTCTCAGCAACGAGAAAAGTAACCAAAACATATCCAAAATACATAATATACCACTTGGGAAAATATGGGGCAATATAACAATCTAAAAAAATTAAGAATATTTTAAGATTTCTTGGTTTGGATTAACTGAGCTCACTAGAAGCTATCTTAATACTGGGAAATATAGTACTGAGGAGATATAAATGGCACATCATGCCTGCCATTTTCTGTCAAGTAGTCTAAGGAAAAATAAAGTGTCTATGTATACAGATAAGAACATGAAACGTTAACAAAATGTCAAGCACTGATCTGAGTAAAAAAAAAAAAAAAAAATCAAAAATTACTTCAACTGTTATTTATAATTTTAAGTTACAGAGAGAACTGCCCATCAACAAATGATTAAAAAAAAAAAAAAAAAAACTATCCAGAATTTGACTAAGGGGCTCACTGTAGAAAAGCCTGAATCCCTTAAGTCGTTATTCAAGGTTAAGGAAAAGGAACAGCTCTGAAGAGCTCCCTAATACCGTACCAACTTATTCACTACTCAAGCCCAAGCCCTTATTCTTACTTTATTTGCATTTCAGTTTCTTATACATGATCACAGGGCCTTTATCAGTGCCCAATTAGCCTCAGGCCTACTTCAAACATTTTTACCTTCTAACAGCGCCCTGTATCAGTCACGTCTTACTTTGGTTCTTCCACCTAAATTGCAGTTTACAAACTCCTATGCATCTTGGAAATCTTTGCTAAAAGGTTTCAAACAAGTTTTGAGCATTTTAGCACGAACCACTTTACAATCTCATGAAGTTTTTCAGAACCACAACTTCCTAACTTCATCATAATACTTTTCAATCAGCTTCTGACACTTTCACTTTTATTCTGCATTCCAAGTTCTTCTTTCCAATTTTAAGTTTAAAAAAGGCAAGAAAAAGCACTGCTTTATTTTAAGCAACATTTACTGAGTTTCAAAATAAAGCTCAAAACAAGAAAGCCACAAAAGCTAACAATGCTCAATTTGCAATATGAAAAATGGAGTTTTCTTGCCAGTAATTTCTTTCTAAATTGTGATGCCCCATTTCTCCCATTATAATGAAGGACTATGGTCAGCACATTTTAACTGAAACACTTGGAAGTGCAATGGACATTGAACAGGAGACACAAGACACACAGTATACTATTAGTGAAAATAAATCACAGTAAAACCTTGGATTGTAAGTAACTTGCTGTTAGTGTTCCACAGGATGAGCAAGCACTTCTAACAAACTTTACCTTGGTGAGAGTGACGTTTTTCAGTACAAGTAGTGTATGACACTGAACATCACAGGATGACAACTGAGCCAAAGATTTTCTCTCCCATCCCACCCCATCCTCAGGAGGAATCCCTCACCTCAATGAGAACAGGACATATGTACAATGTGGGAAACTGCAAAATTTTGCAGAAAAGCATCACTTGAATATGACTGCAGCAGTGCAAGCAATGAATCTGCTTAGTAACAATGCAGAATCCACTTCCACAAAATCCTCAAAAGCAGGCAAAAGCGTGTCATTGGGTAGGTTCCTTTCAAGTTACCAGATTCCAGTGAGCCAAGACAGTGACTTGTCAATGACAGTCAAGGTCACCCTACACAATTAACCCTCCTCTCATCTCCCTCAGTCCAGCCACAAAAGCTTTTAAAGTGCAGGTTATTTTTCTTTATATTATGTATTTTATTATTTTGTATGACAGTATTGTAATCATTTTTATACGAACATTTTTGGGTTGTGGAAGGAATCACCTGAATTTCCATTACTTCTTATGGGAAGACTCGCTTTGGATTGTAAGCGTGTTTCCAGAAGGATTACGCTCAAAACCAAGGTTTTACCATATATCCAAATGGATGACCACTTAGCTCTAAGGAAAAGAATTTCATGCAATAAGGATGTTTCCATTTCTCCAAATTCACATTAAATGTTAAGTGAACCTTACTCAGTCCAAGAACTTGTCTTTTATCAAGGTTGTACTTTAATATCTAGATTTTTAGATCAGTATACAAAAAACACCAGTATATCTATTCAGTTAACTTGTTACTAATTTACCATTATTGTTTACATTTGCTTTTTGGGTATTAGTGTTGTTTTAAATGGCAATTACCTAAATTATAAACATTTTCAAAACAAAATTGAGCTTATTATTACCAAGTATAAATACAGTGGCAGAAGACTTCTTGAAAACTGAAAGAGCATATATACACTTCTCTTTTCTAAAGTACCTACAAAGACCATATGCTTCTACATTGCTTTATACATTTAAAGTAACAACTGGCCTGATTTAAATAGAAATATAAAGGCTAAAATTTGTTGTAAGACTAACCCATAAAAGTGTACTCAAATTTTAAACCAAGCCCTCAAATCACATCATTCACAAAGTATCTGAATATTGGCTTCATAGTTCTGTATGGCATGTTTTTACAAACAGTATCTCAAAATTTTTTGTCTTTCACAATTCCAACAGCCTGCAAGGGAGATAAAACCACCAATTCATACTGTCTTACAAGCAGCAGTAACACTGTTAATCCAGTTACCTTAGGGGTGCTACCATACACCAATCACTATCACTGACCTAGTCACAGAGTAATGAAAGTAATCAAAGCTAGTATCTCCTTTTCATGTTTGTTTTTAAAAGGAAAGAGGTAGAATCCCATTTTTCTTAAGTACCAACTCACCAATTCCAAGGAATTAAGGTATTTTCACATGTAAAATAGTAATAGTAGTACTAGTTCAGTGAACTACATAAAAGACTTTTGAGAAATTACAGATGTACCTGTCAGACATGTACTTTAAACAAGTAGGAAATGTCTGAGACTATTGTTCTTTGCTCACTTACCATATTTAAATAACCATGAAGTCCTAAATTAGTTTTTAGAACAGATAACTCTATGGGATTTTTACCATTTCTAAAAGAAAAAAAAATGAGAGATCTTCTTGGTAAGTCAGGGAACAGGATCAGTGGAAACTAAAGCTGGACAATGTAAAGAAACTGACATGTCTCAAAAATGTCTGTAGATAACTAAGAATAAAATCCTTCAGGAGTTACACAATTCCTTTCTAGTTTTCCAAGAACTCTACTTAGCATGGATGAGGTGGTTGTTCTTATAATTACACAGATTTACAGGTCATAGTGACTTAAGCACCAAATAGCCTGTTTTTAGACATCTCCACTCTTCACTCTTCAAAAACAACAGTGTAGATTTGTATCCTTTTAAAAAATCCAAATGTCACCAGTGTATTTTATAAAATTAAATCCAAATTTTATTTAAGGATTTCAAATTACATATTTCAAATTTCTAAAATGGAATAGAACCATCTTGGAATGAAGAAATGGCATAAATGAACACTGACATCCCTTGAAACTCAAATTTTGTAACAAAAACAATCATCTGCAAACCACATCCCCATTATGTAACAAGATGAAATATTATCTACCTCTTCGCTTTGGCAATAGCTATTTCCTAAAGGAATGAAAACAATGATTTTGTTATTCTTTAATTAAAAATGGGATTCTATCTTTAGATTAAAATTTTAAAGATCAGAAAAAACTATTTAGATGAAATACGATTACAAAAAAAAAAAAAAAATCAACACAGAATGTCTAATCAAAACCATTCTGAAAAAGGAAAAAACTACTGTGATTGGTTAAGGATTTCCAGTAGTTAAAGAGTCTCAAGAAGTATGGATAGTTCCAAACAAATGTGTTCACATTTTAAGTCTTTAATACTAAATTTTCAAAAAAATATCACCTGTAAAAATGAATCAACTAATTTTACTAACAGCAGGAACTCTAGACCTTCCTCTTGAATTAGTCCACCCTATCAAAAATAAATTCGTCCCCCAAATTAACAGTAATTAGCCTGAGGTATTTTAAATGTGGCTCTGAAGTCTCAAACTTAATGGCATTCCCCTCCCCAAAATGGTCTTATTACCACTTTAGGCCCAAAATCTCTAGAGTATTTACTACAATATGGCCATCTAGAAAATCTGAAGAAGAAAAAAAATCCTTGGACTTTAAAAAATAAAGTCCATCCCATCCATTTTCACTATAACAGCAGCCACATGCAATGTGAGTGTTATCTGGCCAGATCCACAATAGGGGTGTTTAAACTTCATTTTCCAGTTTAATTATCAAAGCCTGATGTGAATGAAATGCTGAGTATCACACTGTGGTACAAGTACGTCCAAATCTCTGAGGTTTTAAATGAGACTGAGAAACAGTTCATGAAATTTAACGCATTATGCCTTAACATATCTGTGAGGTAGTTAAGTAAACAGTACTACCCATTGTAATACATAGTAAACAGAAACATGGGTAAATGACGTATCTAAGCAGTAAGGATCAGAGTAGACCATAGAGGCTTAGGGCTTTCAGGTTCTAATCCAAAAAAATGAAATTTAACTTTTCTTCTTTTAAAAGAATGTATCATCATTTAGAGTATTTCTGCTTTTCTTGTTTTCCACTTGATCATATCTTCCAAAGTTGGCTCCTTTTCCTTTAGTATGTTACACTGGGCACAAAATCATTAATTTAAGTTTAGCCTCTGCTTCTAACCTGAATTAGCACAAAATTAAGACATTACTTTGTGAGAACTAAAATTGTATTTAACATTTTTATTTTAGACTGCAAAAACAAGCAAACAACCAAAAAAACGTGAAATAGGCTCATCAAATGATGTGTATTCATCCTTTCCAGGAAAGCAGAAAGTAGACCCTACCACAAAGAAAAGATGCTTAGTTAATGTATGTTAAATTTAGAAGTACACTAAAATATTATCAGTTTAACTTCTGAAAATTCTAGGTTTATTCACCTCCCTGTGGTAACCACAACCATGTAAGGTCGGTTTCCTTATAATTAACTGTCACCTAAAATATAAAACTCCATTAATAAGCTAATAATTAGATTTGGTCTTACTGGAAATTCTTAACCACAAGTTTATTTTATTTTCCTTTAAATAATGAATTGTCTTAGTATAAGTCACTGCATTTCTGTAACAGAAAATGAAAAGCATGGCTATGCAAGCGACTTAAACCCACTTTACTACTAGCAGGAAAACTATTTTGGTTCTTCAGGAAAAAAAGAAAGTTAACTTTCACAGTTATACTCCAATAATTATATGATGCAAAGAACCAAATTGCAGCAATGAACGAACATGCTTCAGAGAATCTGTGCATTCAATGTATCGGACAGTAAAACTATAGTTAAAATGCTAGTTAGAACAAATTGGTCTTTAAAATATCAATTCCTTTAAAAAAAATTACTGAGTCTACCAAGAAAATACAAAAACATAAGGCTGTAAGTAAATAATAGTTGTGTTTAGGCTATTACAGTGCAGGTTATCCTCAAGGCCACATACATCCTGCTTCACTGCTGCTTGCACTCTGCTGGGTTTTGATCCTTCTGTTAAAGGAAAACAAGAAGTCAATCTAACTTCTGCCTGCTTTGATGTACCTCTCAATAGTAATTAACTACCTGTAATTATCACAATAGCTCACTTCTGTCAAAATTTTTGCCTAATTAAAGAAATTATAGAGAATGATGGCAAATTACTTACTCAGCTTTACAAAGTCAATAAAATGCTATAATAAAGCCTAAATTTCACATTGAACCTCCATGATACACTACATCAGCTTAAAAACAAAATACTTGGTAGCTATTTTATCAATTATAATTATGTTGCCTTTTTATCGTCAGATAACAATTTCATCTAGTATAATTTATTGAACTAATTTCACTGAATTCATTATGTTGCCTTTTTATCTTCAAAGATTAAGAGATTTCATTTATAGTTAGCTATTAGGATTAATTCATACCTACCACACTATTTTAAGTCACTGTCTTACATCATCTGTCACTTAGGTTATGTCTTCTAGGTATTTTACAACACTGCGTACAGTAAATTCTCAACTTACAAACAAGTTGCAATTCGTTCGCAAGGTGAGTCTTACACAGTACACCTATGAAAGTTCACAACTCGAATATTCATACATCAGGGACTCACTGTACATGAATGAACTGAAGACAGACACTAAGTTTCAATGAATCCTGATAATTCATTCTGTATTTTGTGGGCAGTGAATACCTTTACCAATCCTGATTACTAATTAAACTCCCACGAATTACAGACCGGGAATCACAGGGACTACAAAATAACAGTCACTGGGAGAACCTAAGAACAGTACTACACTACAGTTCCCAAGCACTCTCACATTCAGATCCCTTAAAACTAATTTTGTTTATAAGCTTTCCTTTAGATGGAAAACAGTCCAAGACCACAACTAATAAATTTTTAACTCTTAAAAACTGCAGGGGAAAAAAAGCCCAAAGTAATATGCCATGTAAAATAGAATGCTAACGGGGTTCAATTGAAACTATGACAATACAAAGTCAAAACCAATGTCTTTCCAGGAAAGTGCACTGAAATTTGTGTACTACTCAAAATGCAATAATAACTGGAAAGGAGCAGGTGTATACATCAATGGGCTTTACTAGTAACTGTAACAGAGAAAAGTAAAACTGTTTTTAATATAGCCTGCCTTGAATTTAACAAAAACCACTAAGTTTGCTCACCTTCGGGTCATAGTCTGGATCATTTTCCTCATCTCCTTCTTCTTCCCCTTCCTATATTAAAGTTCAAAATGCATCCATGAAGTAGGTACACAGCAGGAAAAAAAATGGCTCATAGTGTAGGGAAAATTCAATGTAATTTACTCTATGGGTCAACAGATTATCTTAATTACAGCATTTGTGATAATACAATTTAATTTGCAAGTTTCTAATACGAAAAATTTCCCAACACAGCTTGAGACATCCAGATAGCTTTTATTGAAAAGATTTACTGCAGCCAATGTTGAAAAAGTTTACTGCAGCTTTTGACTTCTTCAAAGAGCTGATAACCCTGCAGCAGAACAAAATTATTTGAAATAAAAAAAAAAATGTTGCTGAGTTTTGCAATTTATTTATTGAAACCTTATACATACATTGTTTGGCTGTAGAATTCTAAAATCATATTTTCCAAACTTTATCCCAAATCACAATGATTATAGCAAAAGAATACATAAGTCATTCAATTCGCTTGTCAATGTGTTAAACAGAATTATTTGCTCATTTGGTAAACATTACCTCATCCGCTTCTTCACCTTCTTCATCATACTGAAGAGAAAACAGGGTAAATGTGAATGAACAGAATACACAAGGGCGTAACACCCATCCCTTCAATCATTTGTGTTCAAAAACAACACCTCAGTGACTGTTTATAATTTAAAGCACATATAACCTGTACAAAATCATTCAGTGCTATTATCTATGTGGATAAAGTGTGATCAGACAACTATTGTAAGTATTACTGGCTTGTACTGTGTGAAACATACTGCACAAAACGTCCAAAGCTTGTACCTTAATCGTTATGTAATATAACCTCAGATGAAAATTCTATGCCACCTACTAAATGTTAAACAAGAAAGTCCTAGTTATATTTTATGTGGCCAAATCAACATACAGCTCCTACACTAACTAAACCTACAAGTTCCACTAACTCAGAATACAGTAATCTTCCTACTAGCAGAAAAAAAGGTAACTCCAAAGAGCCTAAGGAGATCAGACAAGGTATCTAAGATTAACACTAACTGGCCTAATTTTAAATTTTTCTATGTCCTACTTTTTAAAAATTCAGTCTAACTTTTTACCCATCCTGGCTACCAACCTATTTTCCTTTGAAAATATCAAACCCTCCCCGAGGGTTCTCACTGCAGGATTCAAATTTACTCACATCATCATCATCATCTTCAATAGCTTCTCCAGTAAAGTACAACACTGATCTTGGGATTATACGCTCACGTAAAAAGTGACCAATTTCAAAGTCTGCAGCCAGGATAGCTTCAGCATCATCATCCTATTTTTTTAAAAAGAAAATAAAAGCACACAATTCGAATAACTGTAATTTGAAATATGTAAGATGTCTACATTTATTAAGTCCTTAAATTCAGGCTGAGGATGCAGTTCAGTGTACAGTAGCTGCCCAGTATCTGTGAAGCCCTGGATTCCATCCCCAGCACTGTAAAAAGAAACCCTCAACTTTACATTTTGCTTTGTCAATTTAAAATTAGCTTATACTCATGTAGATCAGGTAGTCATCTACACCTGCTAGTTCAATATGCTTTTTTTCCTATATGCTTTTCATAAGAAGTTAGCAGCAATAAGTACAATAAGGGCCAGGGATGTAGGTAATGGGAGAGTGCTTGCACAGCATGCATGAGGTCCTGGGTTCAATCCCTAGGACCACGAAAAAACAAACAAACCTATAGCCTAGTTTTTTGGAGGGGCTTAAACAGTAAAATCTAAATGTAACTGTTACATAATGGCAATTTTCCTTTCAAAATATTATTGAAAACAGACATTGGAATACTAAAAGAAAAAAACTCAGGCTTTCATAAATAATAACACTAAGAATATAGTAAATAGGATGTAATAAGAGACCACAGTACCCAAGTGGCTGTACAATTAAGTACAGCTGTAAGTCTACTTAATGCCAAAGATGTAGTCTTACTTGATAAATACAATAAATCTACTAAGCCAAATTAACACAACTTCTAATTTCATATACATGCAAAACTATGTAAACTACCACAGTTAATTTAAATGAAAAAACTATGGCCAACAGAAAACAAATTCAAAACATGCCAGGCCTGTCCCTGCCTGTTATACTTCTTTTGGGGTTTTTCCTCAATCCAGAATATATGGAACAGGAACATTTCACAGTTCTTGGCTATATGCCACATATAGGAACAAATATGGCCACAGTTTGATAACCTACCTCCACTGAAACAAAGACAGCAAAGAGTTCCAACCATAATGGGGTTCAGAGTTCAACAAGTAGTATAAATAATGTTATAATACATTGTTTCCATTATGGAAGAAAACAGTTTTAAAAAGGGAGTGTTTTCCTATCTGTTGTTTCTCAGTAGAGACACCAACATCATCTGGAATGAACACTCTTTGAGATCCATAAAGATCTGCCCCATGCCTTGCAGGCCTCAGAACAGAGCTAGAAGCAGGGTGGAGATGCAGGTCAGTGGCAGAATCCTCACGTAGTACGCAAAAGGCCCGGAATTCAAACCCCCAGCACAAGCGAACAACCTGTCTGAACAATGTTAGCAGCAACCACCCCACTCTACTTTCAAGGAGCACAGTTTCAATTCCATATACGTAAACAACTCTGTAAATTAACAATTCCACTTACCAGATCTCCACTCTCAGGAACTGTAAAATTGAAAAAAAAGAAATTCAAATGAGTAGAAATTCAGTGAAGTTCATAAAACAACCATCAACAGCCAAACTAAAATACTGTTTACCTTCAGGAGGAGCAAAAAAATTAAAGAAAGAGTCATTGGAAACTGTTTTAGTCACAGTACGAACTGTCCCACGTCCCTTGTGTTTCTGCTTCTTTTTAATGGTTTTCAAAGTGACATTCTTTCCTTTTTTCCAATCTATTTGACACCTTGCAAAAACAAAGGGGAAAAAATATTTTATCACTATCAGCAATTTCAATTACTAGGTTTTTTGAAGTGGTGCACTTCAACTTCCAAATTTTTTGAGAAGGTAACTGGCTCAGATATTTTGTCACAGTAGAACTAGAAAAATTTTGTTTCTAACCAAACTTTCAAAATAAATATAAATAACTAGCAGAACTACAGTATAATAAAGTTAACAGTGTACTCGTTCACAGAAATATGTACGGTTATACTCGTGGGTATTAAGAAAACAAGTGAAAAAGGCACAAACGTTTTACTGAAATGCTTGAGAGAACTAAACTATTACGTAGCAAACACACAACAGAAATACAAGTATCACAAAGCATAAGTACAACGAAAAATTACATTCTGAGATTAACTCACCCTGTACAGCCCATAATTTCTGGTCCATCAAATGAAAAGGGATCAGAATCATCTGGTTCAGATCTCATCCTATACGTCTTTGTCAACACTTCATTCGTGAAATATTCATTGGGTTCAAAGTGAAATTCTAAGATAAAACTCTTTTTAAAAAAGCATAAAAATTATTTTAATTCTTACATCATACATTTTAATGCAGTCATAATCTGTGGCTTTTACAATATAAAGAATTCTAAATGTAAGAGAAGTCCTGAGCTAGGTTAAAAATAGCAAAATGAGATACAAATTAAACTGAATTCAGATTCAGTTTACAACTATCATTTAGGCTGAATACACCTGGACTAAGTCTCTTCCTTTCTATCTCCTCCACAAATGAGGCTTTGTGGGGGGAAGGGGTTCTCCAATCAGATTTTATTGGTACAGTTTAGATATATGTAACAGTCACATTCATCACAGAGAATCTGTGTACATGATAACTTCTTTCCCCTGAACTCCCCTACCCTAACCTCAACCCCTCCTCATTTACAAAAGCTTTGTTTCTACTTTTTCCTTACTTTTCTCTTCTTTCCTTTCCCCTCCCCCTGCGTTGTTTCCCTCCCCATTTGAACATTTTCTATTTCACAATACCTATTATACTTTTTGGTCCTTATTTACACTTTGTTTCTCATACCAGAGAAATAACACAGTATTTATACATCTAAGTCCAATTTACTTAAGAGAACAGTCTCAAGGAAGCTTTTAAATACGAAACTAGATTCTGAACTTAGAGAAAGTCCAACTGTAGGAATCTACAGCCTACTTTTGTAGTAGCTTTCCCCATAGTTAACAATATTTTTAGATTTTAGGAAAGACTGTTAGCTGATCTTTCCTCCTGGGAGAGAAAGACCTCTATAACACCTTTTCTTCATGCAACTGCCAGACATATACCTTTTAATACCGTCTATGTAATTACTTATTTATGTTCTGTTGTCTGGGATTACACGAACCACCACACCCAGCATTATTTTATCTACTTTAACCCATGATCAATGATTATACTTTAAAAAGCTTAAATTCATAGCAGGAAAAAAATAAATGAAGCTTCACAATTGTTGACTTCCAGGTATTTCCTGCAATTGCAGAGCTTCAGCAGTTCCTTTTCTTTCTCACTTACACCACCTTGAATATCATCTTACTCTTGAATGTCATCTATTTTTTAAAACTTTCACTGGGCATGGCCGGCGCACACCTGGAATCCCAGCACTGAGGCGGCTGAAACAGGAGGATTGCTGCAAGCTTGCAGCCAGCCTGGGCTATGTAGTTGAGTTCAAAACCAGGGTGAACTGCACAGTGAAACCTTGCCTTAAAAAACAAACTTTCATTTACCTACTACAAAATTATAAATATTTCAAAGGTTTTTTTTGTTTTTTTTTACCATAGGCTGGCCAGCATCTGAGAATTTCACTTTAATGTCCTTCAAATGCTTCAGAATAGGTTCATCATGTTCCTTAAAATTAAAAAAATAATAAAATTAAGTAATATAGCTTTTTAAAATCAATGTTGTTGTTACTAAATATTAGATAATTGAGAAACAGTTATCTTTTTAATACTAATTAACCTTAAAATTTACTCTCCCTATTACAGCTTACACTATTTGTTTACACTACAGTTCTACTGCCACTGATACAGAATCACAGACTAAATCCCTAACTACATACTCATACAAGCTGAGCAGTTTGAAAAGAAGAGATCTACCTAGATAGGGCATGACTGCTTTAAAACGTTTCCTGATTGCAACTACTTTTTCCTTTTTCTACTTTGCTGTGGTAGAAAGGCAGTAAGCAGTCACTACACTGAGATCATTTCTTTTGTGCAATGTAACTTCCAGCAATTATAAGAAAGGGCATCAAGTATTAGAATACAAATGCAGAGGTTCAAGAAATGCTGAAGAGGCAAGAGGACACAACTGTGAATGCGCTAAACATCTTCACAGCATTCTTAAAATGCAAATTTTAGCCAGATGTGGTAGCCATGCCTACAATCCCAGCACTAGGAAGGCTGATCCTACAGAGCGTTCCAGAGCAGCCAGGGCTACCTTTTGAGACCCTATCTCACAAAATAAAAAAATAAAGCACAGATTCCCCAAATCTCCCTTCGAATAGTTCTAACCTCAGAATGAAAAGCTTTTGGGGCAACAGAAAACTCATGATTCTCTCTCCTCTATCCTACCTCCATACTAAGTGATCCAAAGACAATGCACTAGTTTATGAGAAAGCATCTATCAATAACTATCAATTACCAGTGAGTTTATTTCATCATCTGATTTTAAAACATAACTGTAGTTGATTGGGTTGTAAATAAAGAACAAAAAAGCTGCCAGGCAAGGTAGTACATGCCTATAATCCCAGCACTTGGCAGGAGGATTGCTGTGAGTTCGAGGCCAGCCTGAACTGCACAGTGAGACCCTCTCTCAAAAAGAAAAAAGCAAGTTGTACTTTTCCTTTTACAGATTATGCTATGTCAAAAAAAAAGAACCATCATTTTTTAAAGGTCAACACTGAAACAGTAAGTCATTTAAATTTCAAAGGTTTACCTTTCAGGTCAACTGGTGTTTTTATGAATAAAATTACCTGAACCATGTCACTGAGCAAGTCAACATTCTTAAAAACAGTCAACCAAAATTCAGGAATTCCTTTAGGATCTTCTTTTTCTTCATCCTTTTTTTCATCTTCAATTTTGGTCTTTTCTTTCAGCTCCTCCTTGACAAATAATACAGTATACTATGGAATACCTGTATTAAACCCCTTGACAAACTTTATGTCTCCTTAACTTACAATCAGTGCCATAGATGTAAAAATCAACACACTCATAACCACCAATTATAACTGTCTAGTTATAGAAGTTCTAGTTGAGCTGTGTAATGACTGTTATTACCTACTGCAAACTTTAACTGAATTAAAATTGCTGCTAGGCCAGGCATGGAGGCATATCCTCTAATCCGAACACTATAGGAGCTGAGGTAGGAGGAAAGTTCAAGCCCATCCTGAGCAATTTAGACCCTCCTCAAAATAAAAAAATAAAGGGCAAGGAATGGTAGCTCAGTGACAAGCACCTAGGTTCAATCCCCAGTACCACAAAAAAAAAAAAAAATTCCTGTTACCATATCCCTCCAAAAAGATCACTGGGACCAAGAGGCATAGGAAAAAACACTTTATAAAGAAGAACATAAAAAACAGACTTAAAACACAGCAAACAGGAAAAGCAAAATATTGGCTAGTGCAATAATGGTGAACCTTTTAGAGCTTTGAATGTTAAAACAGCACACTGTGGCACACATGCCATAGGTTTGCCACCACTGGTCTAATATGTCACCCTGTGATGTACTTAATCCAAATATTATTCCTTCTATCTACAAGTACTGGAATAGAAAGGCTAGAAAAAAGCAATTATATAACAGCACTGGATTTGTGTCCCAGCTGACATTCACTGGTGGCAAGTCACTTGAAATTCTCCATTCACTTGAAAAATGGCAACAATCCTCTGCCTGTTATCTTAAAGTTTAGAAGAAAAATCTGTATGTATAAATCTGAAATACTACAAAAATGTAAGGAAAGAATGACTGGGTATAGATGGTACCAGGCAGACACCTGCACTACTTATCTTACGAAAGAGACCGTTTCCTATGTATAAGAACATCACTAATTATAAAATACTCTATCAACAAATGCTAACATTTTGAACAATTTAAAAGACATTGTCATCTAAAAATACACTACAATAAAGTTGATACTAACCGAAATTTCATCTTCCTCATCTGGTTTCCATTCACATTCCTCTTCCGTAGGTTCATAAATTGCATTAATGATCTCAAATCGCTAAAATAATAATAATAAAAGCCTGCATAAAAACACTAGCATCCAAGCTTAGTATCAGGGATTTCTCATTAAAGACTCATTTAATTAACAAATACCTAAACAGTGACCATTATTCTTGGTGATTTTCCTAAGTACCTCTAACACCCTCTTTAATAGTAGTAAACCAGGTAAAAATTTGGCTTTACTTCCAAGCTTATCTCCTAAAACGTTAGATAAATACTAGAGAATATTACCTTATCAAATAGAGGTTGATAGAGAACAGCATACTTCCTTTCAAGATCATGAACTTCCTCATAGAATTTAGCTTCTATCTGTGCACATTTAACTTGAAGGTTTTTGAGAGCATTCACTCTTCTTTTAACTACCCTAGGCAAGCTGAAAGGTTAGAAACCAGTTACATAGCATCACAGTAAAAAGCACCAGTCACATTTCTTTAATTATACTGAAACAGAAGCATCAACATGAATTAATAAGCTTCCTATTTGAAGGAAAACGTGTATTTAAAGTGATTCAAGAAAAAAAAAAAGTGATTCAAGATCAATATAAATTTACTGACCTTTTGTAAAACAATTAAAAAGCAGAAATTTTATCAAAGCAAATTTATTTTTAAAAAATCATTTTAGTCAACCTTAACCTCTCTAAATGTAATCAAGGTCAGTGTTGAACCTACTGCTGTCAATGATACCTCAACTCTAAAATGCAACCTAGTTTATCATGACTATTAATTGTGATTACTTCAATTTTCTTTTCTTAACTTATACCTTACCTGTACTAATTAGAGGAAAGGAGAGGAACATATGTATTTTGGAGAAAAGGACAATGTATCATTACTTTCTATTAAAAATATATTATGAAGAGGGAACACAAATTTGTATCTCAATAAATCTGTTACTTACAAATCACATAAATCTTTTAAGTAACAAATTTATGGAAGTACAATCAAAATGTCATGATATGCCATGGAGCATTAATTTTTTTAAACTACACAGGTTATGCAGTCACTTGAAAATGATCAACCCCTCTATCACCCTGCAAAATGTTCACACTCTAAATAAATCCTCATGTCAGGAAATCTATGTAATATGCCCAGAATCTACATTAAAATTTCCTGCTACAATTACTTGATTTACTTTTGTAAATCAAGTAATTCTCTTTCTTAGCCAGTACTTTGGTAAGATTATTACACTTTTAAAAATTTTTCAACTTTTTCTTAAAGGAAAAAATAATGGCTTTCTCTCCCATCCCAAAGTTAAACCTAACTTTAAAACCAAGAAGACGGGATTACCGGTACCAAGAGAAAAAAAAAAAAAAACAAGAAGAAAACAATCATTTCATCTATTCCCCTCACCACACACACACCCACCCAACTGAGTAAAACTGAATGAAGGCAACCCGGGGACAGGACAGCTAGAGTAGGTGACAGTGAGATTAGTAGAGGAAAGCCATTTTTGTAAAAAACCTTTTTAGGTTCTGGTCTTGCCTGGAAAACAACTGCTCCTGTCACCCTTCACAAGAGCCCAATCCCAGAGTTCCTACGATAACATGAAGAACTGGTGAAAGCTCTCCCTCCCTCTCTCAGCCCATCCGAGTTTGGTATAGTGGATTAGATAAGCAGAGAAGCCCCACACACAAAGCAAACCAGAATAAGTGCCCGGAATTGTCAGCTAACTTTGAGTCTCAGGAGACTAGTGTCCTATTTAGGCTCATCCTGTCAACTTCTTACACTTCGGGACTATACAGACCACAATCTGACCTTCATTCCTCCTCCCAAATATTCTTTACTACAGTAACTGATTCTGTACAGTTTATCTCATCTCAAAGGCCAAAATAACTAGACACTTGACTAATACAATTTCTACGAAAAATCTGAATTAACATCGACACCATTATTAGACAAAGAACTTAAACAACACTATAAATATACTGAGATAAAAAATGACATTATGAAACAAAACTAAGAAATATAAAGTGGGAATGTGAAACATGAAAATACCATCATTAAAATAACCAAATTATATCAACAAAATAGATTTGACTGAAGAGAAAGTTTGAAGTTGAAAAGCTCTCTCAAAAAGTCAGGCTGAAAGAAAAGAAAAGCCCTGACATACAAAAGACAAAAGCAGCAAGCGCTGAGTAACACAAAAGGGGACAAAGCCTAAGAAATGAGAATAATTTCTTTTCTCGTAAAAATTTTAGTAATGATATTTACTATTACTATCAAAGACAAAAGACAACTGTAATGTATTCAGTGGAAAAATGCAAATAACTTTACCAAGGAAAAGGAAACAGACTAACACCAGATACCAAAAGAAACACTGCACAGAAGAAAAAAATTAATTTTTAAGATTTTTAAGAACTCTGAATTTACAATTTTAATGCCAAACTATCATTCAGATGTGAAAGCGAGATAAAAGTTTGATCAGGCTTCACAGGCAGTAGTCACAGATATTCAATAAAAGCAATTTTAGATATAAAAATACAGGAAATTCTATATAAATATATGATACAGTATATGCGGTCAAACAGCTTTGTAAATATTTCACTGATGCATTAAAGGAAAAAAAATAGATGACCAGAAAAAAATAAAATGCTACAGATGTTGGTAAATTTAATAAATCAACAAGACTGAATGAATTTAGGATTAGGTTACTACAGTAACTAAAAGCAGAATGCACTACTTTAAAACCAGCTGAGGACAACGATCTATACAATGGGAAATAGAAAAAAGGAGAGAAAGTACAAGAAACTAAAAATGAGGGAAAGATGAAAGTGCTATAGTCAAAAACAATGTAATTTTCAAGAAATATAAATTTAAACTTACTAATAAAGAAGAAAATATTCCTACTAGAAGACACAAGAGTTGAAAAACAAATACCAGGTTTTTAATAAACAAAAGAAAAGAGAACTGGGGCAGCTATCTTAATATTAAAAAAAAAAAAAACAACTTATGGAGGAGATGAGCCATAAAAACAAAGTAGGACACATCAGTATAAGAGAACAGGCCCAATAATACAGCTTCAAAATGTATAACCTCACAACTGAGAAGATTACAGGGAGAAACAGACACATAAATTGGAGATACTATCTTTTCCAGCAATCGTAAGATCAAACAGATAATAAGCAGAAGAGAAGCTAAACAGTATCATACACTTGAGCTATTAATGTCAGCATATATATCATCACACCCACCACTTACAAGACACTTACAAAATACAGAATAGTAAGGCTACAAAGGACCCAGATTAAAGAAAAAGTTATTAACGAACAAAGTATTAACTGAACAAACAAAAGAGGAACACAGCAAACCAAAATAAGTAAGGTTCAGGGCCTGGTGCATGCTAGGCAAGCATCCTACCACTGAGCTACAGGACAATAAATTCAGAAATCAATGAGCAGCAGTAGCAAAAATATGGAGAAGGCAATCAAAAGCAGAACAAGAGTTTCAAGGAACAGTAAGATCAAGACAACTAGACAACTACCAAGACTGAGATGCAAAATACAGACTATGAAAGGGAAAATACCCGTTTTTCTAAAAATCAGAAAGTATATGTAGAATCCAGACAAAGTATATTTAGAACCATATTTAGAACCCAGATAAAGTGCACACTTCGGCAGCGCATGTATTAGAACCCAGATAAGGGACTGGGGATTTAGCTCAGCGGCACAGTGCCTGCCTGGCAAGCACAAGGTCGTGAGTTCGATTCCCGGTACCGGAAAAAAAACAAACAAAAAGAAGAACCCAGATAAAAAAAAAAAACCACACCACAAAAACCCAACACCACCACTCCAAGACTGAAAGGAGAGAACTTGAGTAACAGTATCTAGAATACTACAAAAAAAAAAAAGGAAAAAAAAAAAAAGTAGCCCACAACTCCCCAGGAGCTCTAATCCCCGAACTCCAAAAGCCCCAGTAAACTTTTAGAATTCTAATTCCTATCTTACCCAAGTTGCTGCAGAAAATGGGGGGGAGGAGGGAGAACCAGATCTGTGTCACTTTGCAGTTGAAATTTGACTCTATCAGTGACACTCCCTGGAAGTTTATGCACACACATATACACATACATGCACACATATGCACACATGTTCATGTCACTAATGAATGAGGACTAAATAAAATACGCACTCAACAATGTAATAGCACACTGAATTTATGCCAGAAAGGCAAGACTAGACACGCAAGATTTATTTACTATTTACTTAACAGAGTCAATGATAAAATTCAAGAGCATTGACATTAATATTAAAAAACGGAGGCTGGGGATTTAGCTCAGCGGCACAGCACCTGCCTGGCAAGAGGGAGGTCATGAGTTCGATTCCCAGTACCGGGGGCGGGCGGGACCCAAAACGGTTAGGTATGCTGGCTCACACTCATAGTCCCAGCTATTCAGGATGCTGGAAGCAGAACTATTAAAAGTTTGAAGCCAGCCTGGGCAACTGGAAGACCCTATTTCAAAACAAAAAAGAGCTGGGATGTTGTTCAATGCTCCCCTGGTTCAATCCTTAGTACCACCACCCGGGGTGGGGGATGGGTGGGTGGCTGAAGCGCTGGAGCATTTACTGGGTGTGTCAAGTCCCTGGGTTTAATCCCCAGCACCAACAAATGGAAAAAAGAAGCACTGAATTTAATAAGGCAGACTTGTTATCATTTGTAATGGCTGGAAATAAGACAAGGGTATCGTTAATGTTCAACATGTGCTGAAAGTCCCCCCACCAATGTCATAAAGACAGAAAAAATGTAGTACAGAATATGGAAGATTAGAACTAAAACTGCTATTTGCAAATAAGCTCTTTGGGGTGTGGACAAAACAAATGACTACATTAAATTCATCAAAGTAACTTGACACAAGATCAACTTGTTACAAAAAATTAATAGCACTCCACTGTATATCAGAAATAGCCTAACAAATTACTACTCACAACAGCAACATATCTAAATTATACATAAATGAAGTTAACCAATACTTATCAAAACAGTGAAGCATATGGATGAAACAATCTATAAATTCAGCCTAATTCCTATCAAAATTTTAGAACTTTAGAAATATGTGAGAACCATGACAAATTTAAATGTGGGATATGGGTCTGGGTAGGTCAACCTTGAAATTGTGTTTGGGGGTGGGGGAAGTGAGGAAGGAAGCAACTTTCCCTGCCAGGTAGTAAGACATACTGAAGCCACAGAAATTAAGTATGACTGTGACGAAAGAATGGACAAACAAGACTAATGAGACAAAGACGGTGTCTGAGAGTGGGGAAATACGGAAGAACACAACTTGTTTTGCCAGATATTAAGACATACTACAAAATCATAGTAATTGGCAATGACAAAAGACAAAAAGACCAATGAAACAGAAGAGTGGCACACAAAGACAAATGCCAATGTTTAATATACAATAAAGTCAATACACAAATAAATGGGGAAATTGATTAACAGTGTTTAAAAAACTAGTTTAGTAAAAAATGAAGTGGCAAGAGAAACTGGATGTTTAACCAGATACAAAGGTGGACTCTAAGAGATCGAACTCCAAATTGTGAATGGCAAAACTACTATTGAACTAGACAACAGGCAATGTAGAAAAAACTAGGAAGGACTGCCTAAGCAACTTCAAAAGCACAAGCCATAAGCAAAATTGTGTAACATAAAAACTAAGGATTTCTGTTTAATGAATGTGGGAGTCCATGGATAAAGTTAGTAAAAATGGGACATTATTTACAAATCTAAAACTGATAAGGGAATAGTAACCAGAATACCTAAGAACTTCTACAAAATATGAAAGACAGCAATCCCAATAAGGGGCAAAGGGTACAAATGGGATACCCAAGTCTCACAAGCTTTATGAAAAGAAACCCAAAATTCAATAGAAATCAGAAAATATAAATAAAATGTGCCCATACCTACTAGATTACATAACTAGCGATGATCCCACTAAAATGTACCTATTCCAAAGAAATTTTTCAGTTCCTTAAGAGGATATGCACAAGAATGCCCACAATACAGTATATACTGATGGAGACAGGAGCCCATCAAAAGCAAAGCAGGTAATAGGACACATGACGGAGAACCAGGTAACATTAAGAAGCCAGTAAATAGAGATACTTATAGACAATAATAGACACCTAAACCCATATCTAATGTGAGTGGATCTTAAAATCATAGAGCAGACTTGTAAGCTGAACAAGATACTCAAGCTCTTAGTGATTTGTTACAAATGAAATGACTCCATATTTTCTTGTAATTCTGTGCATTTCTAACAAACTATAAACAATGCAGAAATGGTGAAGATTGGTGTACTTGGGAACCTGAACCAAGATAAGCTTTAAAAGACCAACTCTAAATAGAGTGGCAATCTAGCAAAATTCCAAACTCCAAATAAGCCTATACTAACAGACATTAAGTTTCCACTATTACACACAAAAAATCTTAGATGAGTTTTAAAAATAGATACACCTGCAATGTTGATTACAGCAAGATAAATCAGAAGGATGAAAAAGAAGATTTGTACCTTTCAATGTATCCTGTTGGTGTGTCTACCAGACCATCAAGTCTTTCTTGAAGGGCTGCAAGAATCTGAGGATTTTGCATCATCTGAACAGTCAGCTGACGCGCTTTAAAAAAAAAAGGGCATCAAAAGGATTTTATGAAAATGTTTTTCATAAAGTTTTCCTAACTGGCCCATAAAATGCTGGCATAAAGAACAGAAATGGGCAGTGAACTAAAGAAAATACAGTCTAAGAAAACCCAATGTCCAGGAAAGTTCAAGTTCCTAAAGATCTCAGCACTTCTCAAGGCAATTTCAACGATTACTGTGAACAATATCCTTTCTCTTCCTGGTACCTTGTGTTTCACCCACCTTACACTCTGGAAGCTCAAAGCTTCATCCAGATGCCTATCTATGATTCTTGATAGTCCTTAGAAGGCAGACAACACATATCTGAAAACTACAAATATAATGAGCTTTAAGCCTGGGACAAAGATGGAGAGTGACATGGATGCTTATGTTTGATGTCTATGCGGTGTACGTGTGTGTAGACAAAAAAGGTTGACACGAAGGCTATAACTAAAGCCAAACATACTGACTTTTAATTCAACCCAAATATAAGCTAGGTTTAAACACAACAATCATGTTCCTATCTTCTTTTATCAATACAAATTATTACATAAAGTTGTCACTGATTTTCCACAGTATGTTCTTGAAGGATAATTTACTTCTGCTTTTACTCAATTACTAGATGACATACACCTGTAATTATTATTAGAAACATCAATAATGGCCACCAAGGACACACAAAGTCTCATATCTGTTATGAAAACATTGAAAGATTAAAACTGTTAGTTTGTGAGTCTTACAAATGACTTCCATCTGACTTAAAAATGAAAAGTCATCTGGTGCTTCAATATTCTTTGCCCACATCTACAGGGTATTATCTAAAGCAGTACAATTCCTCCTCATCATCACTATTCCTTTACAAAATTACCTGTTGAGGTGAATTTTTAATTACTGTCTATGTAAATAATATGCGTCTTTTTTGAAAGAATGGATTTTTAAAAGACATACATACTACATACTTTCTACACATTAAACACTAAACATTGTTTAGAAGCACTACCATAAGCCCCTCATCACCCCTCCATTCCCACCACCTGGAACATTTCTAAATTAAGATACAGTAGCTGTTTGAGACACAGCTATGCCTGGTCACTCCAGCAGTTGAGGATTCAGTGACTTCTGATGAGCCACATCCACATCTTTCTCCCTTCTCTCTCTCTCTCTCTCTCTCTCTCACTAAACACACACAGGTAGTTAATAAACTAGAGGTATGAACAAGTAGATAAAGGACAAAGATCCAGAAGGGAATGGTACTTCTAACTCTCCTCTAGAACACACGTGCCAGCAGCCACTGGCTCCTGAAGTAATGTAAAGTAATACCTTTGATTTTTGTTTCTTCACCAGTTTCTTCTTCTTCTACTTCTTCAACATCATCCAAATCTTGATCAAGTTCAGACTGTTCTTTGCTACAATATCATAGCATCACACCATGGTTCAAATGTACCAATTACCAAAAAAATATATAGAAAAACTTAAATTCACTTTTAAATAATGATTCTTTCAAAGATGACAAAAAATTCAAAAGGTAATTCAGTTTTCTAACTTCATATGTACACTCTAACTTCATATCTACACAAGTACTTAAATTTTCAATTAAAAGCATCTAGCCAAATATAAAGTTTACACATCAAGATTTTAAAATGTGATTTTGAAAGGTTTTTTTCGGAGAATGTGACATCACAAACTTTTGATTTAATACCCACTGACTGCAGTCTTCCCTTCTTAGAAACTGGTAATTCCTTCTTAGTATCTCCAACTATCTACCAGATATAGTTATATGACTTTTTTGGAAGCAATTTTTTTAAAAAGTAGAACTAAGAATCCTTACAGAATGGTAGATAACTAGGAAAGCCTTTTTGTCCACGCTCTCACCCTTCCTTCCATCTACAATATGGATATGATGACCGAGTATCCTAGAAAATGTATGCCACCACGCCACAGATGGAGTCAGTAAAACTGAGGGTCTGGATCTCTGATGACAAAGAAGCAACTATATCAGCCTGTACTATCTCTGGACTTTCTTTTTTCTTTATTTCACAGAAGAGATGGTAAAGAATTGAACCTACTGAGCATATTTGTTGCTCAGAGCAAAGCCAGGAGAATGGTGCTAGTGAGAAGATAAACAGTAAAATGGCATCCTTCTCGCTACTGTTTTAAAAGAATCAGAAAAATTATGTTTGGAACATGAATTTACATCTAGCATCAAAAAATGGATGCCAGGCATCATGCTGCATGCCTGTAATCCTAGCGCTCGGGAGGCTGTTGCAGGAAAATCACAAGTTTGAGGCCAGTCTGGGCTACATACTGAGTTCAAGGCCACCTTGAACTCCACAGCAAGACCCTGTTTAAAAAAAAAAAAAAAAGTGCTGGGGAGAGGGGACATCTAAAGTCAAAGTCAATAAACTTTTTCTTTTATCTTTTTCAGACAGGGTCTCGCTATGCAATTCAGCCTGGCCTTGAGCTCACTTTGTAAGTCCAGCCTGGTTTTGAGCTCACTTTTAAGTCCAGGCTGGTCTCGAACTTGCAATGACCCTCGTGCCTCAGCCTCCCAAACAATTCTTGATGTGTGCTTACATTTTAACCTATGAATTAGAGACTTTAGCTTCCCCGTCTAAACAGCACCTGAAAATTTTTCCTACACAAATACAAGCTTTCATATAGGAACAAGTAAAGAAAAGGTATTGGACTAGCAAATTTAGGTTCCTGCCAACTAAGAAAAGAATTTAGCCATCAGTTTATGCATACTTGACAGCTAAAGCATTGCCAACAACCTGGAGCAGACCTTCCCTTCCTCTGGTACCTTTAATCATTTACTGAACATCTACCCACATTTAAGGCTTCAAAAGCAGATACCCACAAATGATGCATATGGCCAACCCACCCCACCTCTATTTTTGTAAATAAAATTTTTACTGGAACACAGACATATTAATTCATTCATGTATTGTCTATTGCTGCTTTCATACATCCTTCATCTGTAGAGCTGAGTATAGCTACCAGAGCCCCAAATGTCTAAAATATTTACCCTCAAACCCTGAACAGACTTAATTGACTTGGTTTAACTTTCAACTTTCCCTTTTCTCTCACTCTCCTACAGCTAACAGGCATCTAAAATTAAACAAGAAAGGGGGGAATCAAGGTAACAACCGATTTACTTTTTTTTTTTTTTTTCCCCAAAAACGAGGGCTGCACAAATGTGTAAGATTTTAATCCTCCCAAAATCTTTTTAAACAGACAAACACGGAAAGACAAGAAGACAAGAACAGCAAAACTTAGAAAGCTGGAAAAATAGCAGTGAAATCTAAGCTAGCTTGGGAAAAAGCTAAGGATGAGCCCAAATAGTCTTCAGGACCAAGAACTGGTGGCATCAACCCTTCTATAACTAGGGCTGATGATGGCTAAAATAGGAAGGACTAGATAAAAGCTGCTATGCAGTTCAATACTCAGATCTTCTCCCAAACCCTACAAAAAATAAGGCAGTTTCTTCTCTAGAAAGAGTTAAGATTCACAACTAAAACTAAGGGACCAGACACAGTTTATAGAATACCTAATATTAGGACATCTGCATGCACAATGGAACGCTGAATGTACAGACCCTCCCTGCCTGCCTGCCTTCTCTTCACCAGCTTCTTCAACACTAGAAGCTAGTCCTATACCCAGACACTACTCACTGATCACCTCAGAAAAATATCACTGACATTGGAGGGTTTCACAAATGCCCACTCTGATGACCCTACCCCAAAGTACCTACCCAACCCTCAAATTTTCCAATCAGCTTTTTTAAAAAAAGTCCCAACAGTCCCTACTCTCATCCCTCAACATAATGCCAATCTTATTAATGAGATGACCAAAAATTACCTCATGTGTAAGGAAAGCTATTGAGATAAACAAATAGAGGAAAGAAAATTTAAGAGCAAACTGATATAAAGATGAAATATCTAGAATAATATTCCCATCAAAGAAACAAGAACAAAATAGGAACAAAGAACAAAAAAGCTTCTAAAAAGTAAAACTATACATATTTTAAAACAATCTAAGAATGGAGGTTTCCTCAGCTCTGACCAGAAAGAACAGATAAAAACAGAAAATATGCAAAGAGATAAGATTTTTGGGCCAGGGATATAGCTCATCCGCACAGCACCTGCCTGGCAAGCACAGGTCCCAAGTTTGATTCCCAGTACAAAAAAAAAAAAAAATTTTTTTAAAGAGACAATATAATGGGAAACTTTCAAAACCCAAAGTCAGATTAGCTTCCACAAAAATGTGTTTTTTAAATTATCACATATAAATTATCAAGAATTAGGACCCTGAACTTCACAGCAACAGTGGAAGCAAACTGACAATGGACAGTGCCTTCAAAACTCTGAAGAAAAGTAATTTCTACCTTACAATTCTACATCCAAATTATCAAGTATAAAATAGAACAGTGGTCATCTTCAATCTTATCACACATCAAAATAATTTACTACTCTTGTACTCTTCCAAGAAGGCAAGAAAACAACCAAGAGAAAAATATGTAGAATACAGCAAACTCAGGAGAAACAAACATGAAACCCCAGGAAGACAGGAAGGTAGTCCAGCAGAGACAACAATCCAGATTAGAGTTGTATGACCCACTGTGACACCAGTATCACTAAACTGTCTGCTGTGTATTTTTTGTGCCAAAGACAGTATGCATGCATGAGAATATTGGCCCAAATTCTCATGTACATTTAGATATACTGAACAAAATTTACTTTTGGTGAAGTTTTCTGCCCTCCCACCTCTATGCCTCAATCCCTCAACAGCTACAGACAATCCTATCATTCTCCTCAATCCCAAGTACTCTGCCTTTACCTACTGAGGTGGCAGGCTACTGTTAAATTAAATAGTATGGAACTCATCTCATTCTCTTGAACCACATTTCTCCAAGACACCCATCTATACTACCAACCAACTACACAACTTAATTAAACCTGTGTTTACCAGTATGAATGTTTCTCGATACATTAACAAGCTACATGGCACCTTGCCCAGTAACACCTCCAGTATGAGCCCTTGAGAAGCCTCAGCAAACTTTAAAACAGATTATGACCCAGATGGTTTCTTTTGCTATTTATTGTCCTATCTTCAAACTTTCAACAAAAGTACAGTAGTACTTTCAACAAACAGTAATATAGCTTTACACAGCTAAGTTTGTGCTATCAGATCTTCAAAAATAAACATTAACTGAGAATTGATAAGAAATAAAGAAAAGCAGGAAAATGAACTAGACCAAAAGCAGGATAGTGCTTACACCTCTGGAGATGAAAAGCTGAAAGATGGAGAATGCAACTGAGAAGGGGTACAAAGAGCTTCTAATAGTAATGCTCCATGTAACTTGTACTTAAGCACTTTGTTATTGTTCAAACTCCACTCATAGATTTTATATGCATCTTGTATACAAACCATGTAGGAAATATTTGGGAAATATATATATGTTAAAAAGAAAAAGTCTAAGTATTTATGATCTATTTAATATACACACTACATTCCTAAGGAAAAATACTGCCAAATAATGTCTATTTATGATGCTGATTATCCCTAACTTTCTTAATAGTATGAACAAAGCAGTAATCATATCACACATTTTCATAACGTAATTCATACTTCTATTAACTCCATCACAGCACAAAGTAATGCCAAATTTCTGTAAAAGAACCAACAGGTCAATCTGTTACTTACTTGTCAATGTCTGCCATGGTGTATGTAAGAACTCCAAATATCTATGGAGAGAAACACCAGTGTTAAAAAAAAAAACGAAAAAAATCATGCAATATACAAAGGACTTCTCTATCTCCCAAAAATAATTTCAGAAAAATTGCTTAAAGCAAGCAGGTTACACTAGGCTTTCATAATTTATCAAATGAAGACTCTTATAAAGCCCTAAGAATTCAAAATTCACTTCATTATACAAAAGGAACAGTACTGAGTCTTCATTCAAAATCTTTTCAGGTTTCTCAGCATCTCAGAACAAATCATCAAATTGACAGTTTTAAAATCTACTACCTACTAGACTTTATTATGTCCCTAGGCATCTTAATTCCTTATTAGGTCAATCTCTTATACTTCTTTTTTTTTTTTTTTTTTTTTTTTTTTTTTTCTCTGGTACCGGGAACCGAACTCACGACCTTGCGCTTGCCAGGCAGGCGCTTTTTTGCTGAGCTAAATCCCCAGCCCCAATCTCTTATACTTCATGGTAATTATGAAGTTCCTAGTCTCACAGCCTTTGTCAGGTAAGTATGCCTTATCTCTTCACATGTATCTGAAGTCATATCATTGACAAATCAACCACCACTGTCACCCCTCAGCCTCTTCTAGGTTGCTGGTACATTGTCAAAACACTTTTGCAGATCAAAGCTGTCACTAAATTCTTTCCAAAAGATTAAAACTTAAGAGAATACTGCTTTTAGGAAAACAAAACTTAAGGTAAATGTGTTATATTCATGTAGAAAAACTGCTGAATGCTGTAAATAATAACAGGTTATTTTTTATTTAAAAATAAAAAAGCTTAACCCAAGCTTAGAGCGAATACCATATTAGAATCAAGTTTTTATATTTGAAAAATTAAAATCTTGGTACTAAACCCACATAATCTTACAAAATGTATTACTCTTATAGTAACATTATGTACTAGTTGACAAACAAGATGTTAGGCGAGGTGTGGTAGCATATACTTGTAATCCCAGCACTCAGGAGGCTGTGGCAGGAGGACTGCTAGCTACAGACTGAGTTCAAGGCTGGTATGAACTACATGACAAGACCCTGTCTTAAGAAAAGGGAAGAGAGAGAAATATTGGCTCTCAGTCAAAGCAATGCAGTTTGTCTATCAAATCATCAAGGCATGTCTTTCAACGCACAGCAAATTGTTGTCAATATGCATCTGTAAATCTAAACTAATCTTGCTGTAACTAGTTTTCTGAAGAGCAACAGGCCATAGAAATATGAGAACAAACCATAAAAATACATACACAGGTGATCAAATATGGTGAATGTTTAAACTTGTAGCCAGACATAATGGCACACACCTGTAATTAATTCCCGCACTTGGAAGCCTGAGAGGCAGGGCGATCACTTCTAGTTTGAGGCCAGCCTAGGCTACATACCGAGTTCAAGGCCAGCCTGGACTACATAGTGAGACCTTGTCTCAAAAATACTGAAAGAAATAATTTTTAAAAACTTTTACTAAGTAAGACATGCTGCCATTAACCCCCTTAAAATACTCTTGCTTGAACAATATATCCCATCATTCTTAGCAATCTTTTACTGTTAATATTCTTTTTAATTTCAACATACTATTTTTGATAACCTCTTATATACGTATGTATAATACACACATATATGGTATATATACATGTACCCCATATATATATACATATATATGTATATATAAATAAAAGAATTTAAACTTTTTGCTCTTTCTGTTCCCAAAAAAGGTTTTTTCAAAACCCTGGCATACCTACACATACAGTACTTTAGCCCTCAGCTCAAATTTTACTTTTTAGCACAGCAGCACAATTATTTTACTTCTTAGACCAACACAGTGGTGCACATCTGCAATCCCAGCTACAGTACTTAAGAGGCTAAGGCAGGGCACAAGTTTCAAGGCCAGCCTGAGTAACTTAATGAAACTGCCTCAAAAACAAAACAGATTTCTAGGCCTAGAGATGTAGCTGAGTGACAGAATCACTTGCTTAGTATGTGCACAAGTTCTAGGCTCAATGTTCATTAATTAATATCAAAAAAAAGTTTTTCAGAGGTATTTTTCCGATTTGCACACTACATTAAGTATTTCTTGGTTGTACAAAGTCCTATAAAGTTCTGTTTCTTTCCATCATGATATCTCAAGTATATAATTAAAAATTAGTGACTTAAAGTCCATCTCTCCCAACTGACCAGACCATAAGACTCACAACTAGCAGAATTCCAGTCTTTTGCTAATCACTACAATATTTTTTCAGGGTAGTACACATAACTTTAATAAACTTACTGTTACCATGTATACAATGGAATAGTCAAAAGTGAAGCAGCTATTAGTTGACACAAAAACAAAAACAAAGCAAGATAGGATAGATGGCAAAACTTTATTATAATATAAAGAAATGTATGCACACCATCACATAAATAAAACCTTTCCATGTAGTTTATGGTGCTAGGGAATTGACCATGCACATTTAAGTATGTAACCTACTACTCAAATACACCCTCAACTCCCTAAATAAAACCTTTCTAGAAAGTATGCTTGAGCCAGGCATGGTGGTACATGCCTCTAATATCAGCACTCCTGAGGCTGAGGCAGGAAAACTGCCGAGTTTGAAGTCAGCCTGGGCTACATACTGAGATGAGAGAGACAGACAGACAGACACAGAGAAATTTACACTCTGCATTATATGATTTTCTAATACACACAAATTTACTCAATACATTTTGGGATGTTAGGTTAAATATGTACCATCTATAAACCTAGCACTGTCAAAAACACAAAGAAAACTTCTACATGTACAAATACATTTTTAAGCATCACTAAAAAAAAACAAACAAAAAAGCCCTACTAGCCATGTGTGACCATGCCTGTACACCAGCACTAGGGAGGCTGAGGCAGGAGGATCACCGCAAGTTCCAAGTTCAAGGCCAGCCTGGACTACCTAAGTGAATTCAATCAAGAGCAGCCTGCATCACATGAGACCCTGTCTCAACCCCTCACTCCAAGAAAAAAAACACAAAGAGTAAATCCACATAAAAGACAACCAATGTCTGATATCTCGTAAGTACTCAATAAACAAGCTGTTTTCATCTGGTCCATTTTGAATTATCTTCAGCACGTGATCTGTGGTTTTCCATACCAACTCAAGTGCTACTTAAAGCGGACTTCTAGTTTTGACAATTTGCATTACGGCATGTAGCATATAATTTAGGAGAAACTAGGTAAGAGGTATAAAGGAACTCTGAACCAACTGTAACAACTCTCCTGTTATCTCATTTTAAAAATTAAAAGGATTCTTAGACCCCAGGTCCAATTCTGAACCAGTATGTCCAATGGAGACACTGAAGTCTACATTCTAAACAAGACCCCAGTTTCTGGGGCAGATGGTTCTGAGATAAACCAGATCAACTAGTACAGATGTTTATGTAACACCTGTATTTTTAAATGCAACTGACATTAAATAAAATCATTGAGAAGTCTGTCAAACATGAAACTGCATTCCAAAATCTGTGGAAAACTTCCAATCTTTTCTGCTTTGTTTTTTTTTGAGGCAGGGTCTCACAAAGTAGGGCAGGTTCACCTTGAACTTGCTTATGTAGCCCAGGCTGATCTCAAACTCAGTGATCCTCCAGTTTCAGCCTCCCAGTTGCTGGGATTATAGGCTTACACCACCACATCTGGCTCAAAACTTCCATTTTTGATAGTTACAACTTGATAGTTACAACGCCAACTCTACCAATGAAAAGTACAGAAAATGTGTTAAAGTCTTAAAAGCACTGAAACCCAAGTAAGATGGTCTAAAACCAAAGGTAAAACAAGAAGCCACTGTTGCTTTGAAGTGCCATTATCAGCAAATATGTTTTAATCACCTTGTGTGAAGTAAAAATTCATTCCTGTCTAAACATTTGGAATCTTTACAGCAACCTTACCAAATGAAGCAGGAATATCAAAGAGCTATATTCGGGGGCTGGGGATTTAGCTCAGCAGCGCAGCGCCTGCCTGGCAAGCGCAAGGTTGTGAGTTCGATTCCCAGTACTGGAAAAACAAAACAAAACAAAAAAGAAAAACCCAAAGAGCTATAGTCTCAGAGAAAATAAACCTAAACAAATGCCCAAATTCATTTCACTTTCACTACCTACCCAAACAAACCTCAAGCTATAACCTTAAAATGCCCTGCCAGTGTGCTCACTGGTACCTGCATATCCAAAGGTGAGTGAAAAGTACCTTCACTCTAAACCACAAATAATTCATTCAAGTAATTTTCAAGAGCAACAGAAACTATTCCTACAGTGATTAAATATCAGTGTCAGAGTATAAGCCACCTCCATAGAAACAGCGAAGGGCTATAGGTTTAACTCAGCTGCAAAAGGCTTACCAAGGATGGAATACACCCTAAATTCCATCAGAGGGAGGGAGAAGGCCTCAGACAGACATGGCTATCCAGCCTGGTCCAATTAAACTGACTGCAGGTGGGCCAAAAAGGTATTTTCTAACCAAGGTTCCGGAAGTCAATACTTACTGTCAAAAATTGGGAGAGAAAAAGGAAGCACAGTATCTGTTAAAAAAAAATAGCCATTTAAAAAGGTAATATAGCGAATTTAGAAAAAAACTAAACTGAACTTTCAGATAAAAATAACTGACATTTAACTAAATGAGTTGGCTGAGTGGATTAGATACAGCTGAGGAGAGAATTAAGCGAACAGGAAGACATCTTAGAAGAAATACACCAAAATACAGCAAAGGTACTAAAGGGTGGAAAATCATGGTAATAATTTGCCTAGGTTCAATCCCCAACGCCACCAAAAAAAACCTCCAAACATTCTTGCTTAAAATATTCTGTTAGGTATACCCTTCCAACAGAAGGCAAGTGATTCCAGATGGACAGAAATGACGGAGAATATCCATATATGTAGAGATTTTTCTTTTGAGACATGATCCCACTATGTTACTGCAGGCTGTTCTGGAACACCTGGCCTCAGCCTCCCCAGTGCTGGAATTACAGGTGTATGCCACCATATCCAGCTAAATAAAAGATATTTTAAAAATAATACCACCACTGTGTAGTGTCTTAAAATGACCAAGTTATCGGTGTGAATAGGAGGAAGGAACTGCATTCAAGTATTCTAATGCCCCTAAATACACAATGTTGTAAATTTCTAGAACCACAACTTAAGGAACAGCATGTATTAACTTTAGAAATAAAACGATGAAAATAGGTACTTTAAGATAAACCTAAAAAGGCTGGCATGGTAGTGCACACCTGTAATCCCCGCACTCGGGAGGCTGACGCAGAATGATCCTTGTGAGTTCGAGGGCAGCCTGGATTACAAAATGAGTTCAAGACCAGCCTGAACTACACAGTGAAACCCTGTCTCAAAAAGACCAAAAAATAAAACATAAATTAAAATAACATAAAATAACTCTAAAAGAAAAGTAAGTTGGACAAATAAAAAGCACAAATATATTTAAACCTAAACTTCATTGTACTTACATCAAAATGTAAAACTGAAGGCTCCTCTGGCTTTAAAAAAAATCTAGTGACAACCTGGCTCCTAACATTCCTGAAGGCAAAATTGAAATGGGTAGCAGGCTGTGTACGCTGTGAGTTATTCAACGTTGTATAAAACAGGAGAACTCAGGCTGTGCTTTATCTTAAGTGACTGCATTTCATAAAACAACACTTTGTTCCATTTTGAGTACAAACGCTGAGGTAGAGTAACTTGTCTGCATACACAGGTAATCACCAGAGGTTGGACACAGCACACTTCAAGAACTCCCAGATGCACAGCACAATCATGAGGCAAAAGGCAAATCATGCTAATGAAAAAAACCTAAAATTTATCTATTTAATCAAGGGCACATGATCAATCAAGTTTTATCAAAACATCAGTCCTGATACACCAAATGATACAATCCTTTCACTTGGATCATATAAAAGTAGGGACACCCAAATTGGGGTGCAGCAGCAGCACCACATGGACCTATCATCTCATCAGTCCATCTAGTAAACATAACTAGGCTGACAAACTGTGGCTCTCTGCTTTATAGCTCAGCCAGATCTCCCTGTATAAGGAATCCATACTCAAGACTTTGAACCGTCTCTGTGCTTGGCTCTCAACAAGCCCCAAGCTAGTTTTACAGATAACCTCGCTAGCCACCTGAAACTTTTCACACCATAAACACTAGTAATTAAAACTGGGGAAAAAAAACCTGTGGTTGCCCACCTTACTTACAGAGTGAACCTTGAGTACTCCATCAAAAATCATCTAGGAAATTGTAGTTCATGAATTTATTGTTATTCCATAAAATTGTGACATTGGGAAAGATGCAAACATATCTAATATACATTACTGGCATAGCTCACTCACAAGAGAATATTTAAAAACGAAGAAAATCTTCCATTAGAGCAAAGATAGGAAATGGCTGAGTGATTTTGTGGTCTTGTAACACCAAGATATCCACGTACCTATCAATTAACTTACACCATCAACAAGAAAACTAATACTAGTTGAGCCCACTCTGTAAGGAAATATTACAGACTTTCCTCTTAATAGCAAATAAAATATTAAGTACCTTCCTTAGCAACACAATCCTTAAGAAACCAAGACTTACAATCTGACTTTCAAAACCAATGTGCAGCCTACTACCCAAAAAAATCAGAGTGCCTTCCCAATCCTCCTGTTCAGGTTACACATTCACAAACTAATTATTCCTTTATTGAAAATGACTACTTCACGATTAAAGAGTCAATTATTAAAAAATGAAAATGGCTTAAAGCAGAAGAGGGAACCAGTAACTCCCAAGAAAAGGTCCCTTTACCTGAGGCCCCACCTTATTTCAAATGACTTCAAACCAAATTTGTGAACAGACACAGCTGTTCTTTTAAAATATTTCCAGTGGTGTAGGGGTTCAGTACTACTTGGCTCCAATACAATCTCATAGTTTAAACAGCATTATTTAGTCACGTAACAGTCAACTTAGAACTGACACTGTTATATATTACGAAGCAAAATGGGCTATAAAACTCTCAATCATACAATCCAACGGCCGAGAAGCAGTTCAAATTGGGCTGGTATTTGGTAAAGATTCACCCAAATTAACAATTTACGCACATGTGACTTCCAAAGTTATATATATATGTAGCATATAACTTATATGTTCATAGTATACATTAGGCTAAGAAATCATTAATCAACTATACATAAACTCTGTGCTGGAATCATATCTCATGAATATAGTACTGCAGCTTTCTACCAGAGCACAGTGGGACCCAAGATAAGCATTTCAATTCCACACTTATGCACAGCAGAACAGTATGAGTCAAGGGAACAGCCTTTAAAAATCAGTACAAAACTCGCCTCACCATTAAGCTATCATTGTTCAGTTCTGTATCCCTGGATAATTTAATCATGTTGTATCTCAGATTCATTGTTTAAATGTTAATGCTACCTACACCTCTAAGAGCATTACATGAGTTAATGCATGTACAAAAATTTCTAACAATGCTTAATCACCCAGAAACTGTTCATTGCTCTTCTATACCCTCCTTTAGAAAATACCATGCACCAGCACCCTTTCCTAGTAAAGATCAGTATGTACCCAACTTCCAAAATAGTAAAAAATGTGCCCAAATAGGTAATAGTAAAAGGTGAAACTGGAAAGCAAAGGTACAGGTCACTTTCTTCGAGAAAACCATACTGCAATGCCCTCTGATAATCTGCAGTCAATGTACTAAGGAACGTACAAAGGTAAAATAAATAGCTCCCACCTTCTAAACTCCATACTTATCCAGATCAAACTAGGGACTAAATGCCAGTGTTTGAGGGTTTTTGGCTTAAACAAGGGTTATACATTACTATATACCTCCTAGCCTCATAGCATTCACATTTTATACATAATGGAGGCAAACAATTAGCTTGCTGTTCACGTTGTATAGGTGTTTCTACTTGCTGAAAGTGTTGATTTGAATCATGCATTTTAACATGGGCAACTCCAAACCAACCTGAGACACAAGAATCCCTAAAGATGACTTAAAAAAAAAAAGACTAAAAAACCTCACTTGCCTCCAGTTTTACATAAATTCAATCTGTTACTAGGTCTTTTTCCTTACCCAGTCAAAAATAATGCATACCTCTTCCCAAGATATGGAGTATTAAACTGGCAATAGGGAGATACTAGTTTCAAAACAAGTTTCCACGGTATTTTCAGAAACAGCAAATTTTGTCTTACAGCTCTCCTTAAAACCTGGCAAGCAGTGTAAATTGTGAGATTCAAATGTCTTTTCGGAATTCATCAGAGCAATGACAGTCTAAAATAGGGACTCCTTGTAGCCTTTCTTTCGGCTGACAGCATGCGGGGAGGGGGAAACCACACCTTAGCCCCTCTTCATCGGCAATCCCGGGACTGGCGCCTTAACAAGGTAGCAGATAGGCTCGGCCCGGGTCAGTTTAGAGAAATCTCTCATTGCACTTCGTATTTCTTCAAGCCTGCCCCCACTCAACTTGAAAAGAAAATAGACTGTTAAGCATCTTGTTATGAGTACTTCAGTGATGGAATTTGTTAAAACACCCAGAAAAGTTAAAACCATTTTTACAAGCCAAATTTTTTTTTTTTTTTTTTTAAATCTTAGAGCCCTTTGGTGAGCTAGATCGATTAAGATCAAACCTCTCAAAACCAAAAACCTTTGCCAAGCAACACATCTTAATTGTAAGTACACCTGGGATACGTGAGACACTTTCGTTAGGAAGGGCGAAAATCTGCGCTTTACCTGCGTTCACGCTTTGAGAGCTCGGCCGTGGGAAACCCTCCTCCAGCCCCCACCCGGTAACACTGGCCTCCGGGGCCCCGGCAGCCCGGCGGGAGGCCGAGCGGACTCAGGGCCGAGCGGTCGGGCCTATCAGCTCACTTTGCATCTCCGCCCGCGCCGACTCACCACTTCCACCGCGGGAGCAGCGCGGGCAGGCGGGGTCCGCAGCGAGGCCGGCC